CTGTGCTTCTGCGATACAGGACTCTTCAATTTCTCGTAAAATTGCCCTTGGCTGACGACCAGTAAGCTTTGAGAGACTTTCCGGGTATAACTAACATTCCACCACCTTTTGTCTGATAGTTCTGTTTTTCAAATGGTCTGTAGGGTTCATAATAGTCCCCTTTTCCGACACCCGGATCCTCTCACCCTTGACTACTTTTCTTACCATTCCCACCCGAATTCGTTGTTGGTTCTAGAATATTAGATGAGATCAGTTTCTTTAACCAACTGACTTTTCCTTAGCATTTTTGTTCCCTGCACTTGCTTTTTCTCTACCGTTTAGCCCATGACAGTAAATATGATTATATTCTCACCGGTAGACTGAAGTATGCCTTTCGTGAATGGGCAGATGTTTGATTTCCTAAGACCCTGATTTGTATAGTGTGATGGCCCCCAAATTCAGAAAGTTGATATTTAATAGTAAAGGAAGGAGAGGTTAAGTGACAATATTTTGTGGTCGCTGGTGTGAGACCTGGTGTTCTCCTCCTCCTTAAAGTTTAACAATACTTCTTACTCCGGCGAATGAACTGGGAAATGTAGATAAACTGTGGATATGGATGGACTGGTAATCTAAGCTGTGGTTACAGATAAACTTCAAAGTTTTCCCTCACTATAAACCTTTAACCAACACTTTACCCACCATGTTGTACATGAATGGTACACAATACCGATAAGATGAATTACACACACACGTACAAAGTCTGGGTATCTATATTTTTAGACGCTGTATGACCCTGGTGGGTTTAGCGCTTGGTTATGATTGTAATAGTAATATATGTATGACCTTGGTGGTCTGGCGCTTAATATATTTGTAGACGTTACGCCAGCCGGTGACTTTATCAATACAATACAAGGATATAATGTGAAGAATGTAGAATTATATACAAATGATGATGTAATCAGTCCCTCAGCTAAATGTAGAATTATATATACACAATGAAGTAATCAGTCCTCCTGTTGAGGGACTGATTACCTCATCTTTTGTATACAGTTCTACATTCTTCACATTATATCCTTGTACTGATAAAACCACTGGCTGGTGAAACGTCTATAAATGAAGATACCCAGATGTTGCACATGTCTAATTCTTCAGCTACCCACTATACTGAATAAACTGATTTGCTTTCCTCCACTCCCTTCCTCAGCTTTTCATTCCTCTTCTTTTTCTCTTCGACTTTCGACACTGACCGTTTTTAATATCGCATTTTTTTTCGTTCGCCTTGTGATGATGTTGACATGTACTTCCTCAGTTTTGTTTGTACTTCCGTTGTTTTGTGGGGCACCGTACCTTGTGTAAAACTTTTGTTTATCAAATAGTTGTTTACGTATTTAGAGAGAGTTGTGTTGTAACGTGGTTTCTTTGGTGTAACACAAACTATGGCTGGTAAGCTAGCGGAAGACCTAGGTCATGTGACCAAAAGCTCCAATGGCGAGTCATCATTTGACTAAGACTTGAGTCAGGAGACGCTTGTCCTGTTTCCTGACGAAACTTGCATAACCTAACCTTCGTTGTAACAAAGCGCTATCGTTGCTTGGTTGCCCACTTTATCTTTATTGCGCTCATGGTTTTATTGTAATAATTTTTGGTACCACTACTGATATTTTGCACCGTACTATCTGAGCCTTCATTATTTGTTTGTACCTCAACTGCAAAAGACTTTTTAGTGTGATAAATATGTCGACCGAGGCTCGGGGTACATGCACCTCCCGTCTATAACGACCAGTTCTCAGGTGCTCCTGCCTCTCTGTGTACCTGTGTACCTTGTGACGCGCCGCTGTGTATTATAATTCAAGTTTGTCTACCACTCTGCGGCTTTGGATAATTTTTTTTAACTAAAGTTACTGATCTCGAGGGGGAACTTTAAGTTTTTTGACGTTAATAATTTAATGGGATTATTTTTCCTGACGTCAGGTATTTTAAGCTGGTATGATAGTACTTCTTTTATTCGCAATGGTAAATTTTGCTTTTTCTCCTTTTCCATTTTAATTACTGTTTCCATCTTTACTACAGTTTCTTAAATTCGTAAAGCTTATCAGCATGTTTTGTTTTATGATTACCGAAGAAGTTGTTGACAACTGACACATAACTGCATCATGCAGAAACTTCAGCACCATTCATACATTTTGTGAAAATAGAATTCTTGATAAGTTTTCGAGTTTGAGGACGATCAACGATTTCAACTTTAAAATTTTACATACTTAGTCCTGGGAACGATCTACAACTTTGTCCAAGACCTTAACGAATTGCTTGATTAACCCTAACTTAATGAGGAATAGTGGCAGAATAATATTATTCCCTGTCAGTCAATGGCTCGTTAATGAAGTTTGCTGGACCTACAGTCATGTTTTCTCTTGAAGGCCAAGTCACATTTGTCCAATGATCAGCCTTCACCCTACTGTCCCTCAAACAAGTGAAACAAAGGCAGTTTGCATATCCACTCTGTTGCCCAAGTAAGAAGTTTACCATCTTCAGATCAACAAGCAAGAAGTTTACCATCTTCAGATCAACAAGCAAGAAGTTTACCATCTTCAGATCAACAAACAAGAAGTTTACCATCTTCAGATCAACAAGCAAGAAGTTTACCATCTTCAGATCAACAAGCAAGAAGTTTACCATCTTCAGATCAACAAACAAGAAGTTTACCATCTTCAGATCAACAAGCAAGAAGTTTACCATCTTCAGATCAACAAGCAAGAAGTTTACCATCTTCAGATCAACAAGCAAGAAGTTTACCATCTTCAGATCAACACAGACATTTGTACTCATGATAGCAAACTTTCTCCAATAACATTTTGATATTTTTGTATTTAAGTTTTACTGAGATACATATTGGTTACCAACGTGCAATAAACCACATTTCAAGCTTCTAATGGAGTTATCTATAAACAACCACCAATCTTCTGGTCGATATTGAAGTCCCATTCGAAGAAGTCCAGGGATGATATTGCAGTATACAAGTTCATCACGGGTGAAGTAAGGAAATAGTTCATGCTCTCTTGTCCGATAACTTATTTTAACTTTTTGTTGTAGACAGTTCTTTTTATTTAGTCTGGATGCTAAAAGTTCAGATATTTGCTTTGACAGACTGAGGTCACGTATCAAGGTAACTGAGTTGTTCTTGGCAGAACTGGGATGTTGAAATTTTTACATATTTACTTTCACTATCACCTGTTATAACCTAAACCCTGAGTTACCAGTGTTGTAAACACTGGACCCCTCAAGGAAGGTTCCTTGATGTTGGTGAGGGGCTTTTGATTTAGGAAATTGGATCTGTGCTCCAGTTCCCCGAATTAAGCCTGAATGCCTTCCACATCCCCCCCCCCAGGCGCTGTATAATCCTCCGGGTTTAGCGCTTCCCCTTGATTATAATAATAATGTAAACACTGGTAACGTCTTCACTGTGTGACACGGGCCTCTTCGCTGACTCCAAATCGGGATATTCCCGCTTGACTTTCTTACATCGATTGAAGCCTTACACATTCACTATACAGAAATAACAATCGCCGTGGTGGTTTTTCAGCTCTCTCCACACCATAGACTAGAGATGTATCGGATGTGAAAATTTAGATATCCGCGGATGGGGATGTGTATGAGGATGTCTTACTTATTTTGCGGATGCAGTTGCGGATGTAAGAAATTGTGCGGATGTTCCTCAGTTGCGGACGCGGATATCCGATACATCACTACCACAGACACACCCAAGTTTAAACTTTTCCTTTGACTATTTTTCCACTGTCGTCAGCATTGCAAATCATATGCGGATCCCAAGACTTATCTTGCTTATTTTGGACGGTGCTTGGAGACATGACAAGCTTATTTTACAAAATCTGTGTTTTTTCTTCTTTTCTCTAAAGAGTTTTTACCACAAATGTAGCAAAAATGCATTGGGATTGTTTAATCAGACTCTTAGTGAAGAACTTGTTACAACAGTCACTTGATCGTTGTTGATGCAGCTCCTTCCGTTAAACATTAAATCATTTAAAAAATAAAATTTTAATCTCTATCAAAATTGTTACTACATATACATGCATACACCTTGTTATGATAGGTATGCAATATCTCGCAAACTAGAGTCAATTTGAAAACCCTACTGCCATTTTCCAATTCAGCAACCCCAAAATACCCTGAATACTTTCATATATCTTTGGCAGTGATTTTTTTTAGTGACCAGTGTAATAAGTAAATATGTAGTTTACATTATATAAATACACATACATTAATATTTTTTTTTGTGATGTAACAGTGGTCAACGGGGGTCTCATAAAGACCCACTGTAACCTATGTAATGAAAATTTTTTGTTTGTTTTTGTTTGCCTCTCACAGGATGGGTGGACAATAAACTAGCCGCTCAGGCGACACAACCTGATTACATTATTTCACGGATCACCTGTCTCCAGTGAAAATATGATACCAGGAAAGATGTTGGGGAAGGAAATGGGCAACTATCGTCATGGTTTGTGTAATGGGTTTCCCCACCCCTCCTCAGGGGAGATTTCCTGATGCCGGTGAGTGGCTCTGGATTCAAGAAATTGGGCTGGACCTTCCGTTCCTTAGATCTAAGCTGATTGTCTCCCATTCCCAGGGGCGACCGCTCCTCCACGGGGCCATACATCGCATTAATATAATTATTTAAGTTTAATAACAGTAAAGTGCTCACTTGCTGATGTGTGGGAATACTGGTGACTTCATAGAGTATCCTTTTTGATTTTCCTTCTTTTCATGTGAAAGGAAATTTTCCTTCACACAACTGACGGTTGTTAGTAAATATTCGACATGGTTATATAAGGTTAAGTGGTGGTCACCTCCGCTCACAGTTCCTCTCACTACCGAACATCCCACTTAGAAGTAGATTAGTTATATTTTCAAGCACTCTACATTAGGCGCGACTGGCTCGAGTCAAGTTTTTGTGAGTTCACTAAGTCGTACAGCAAGGGCGTCAAGGTGTAACTATGATTGTAAACATGAAGTACATTACGACTAGGGCCTTGGTGGTCTTGCTGTGTGTAGCAGCGGAGGTGACGAAGGCGAAGAAGGTGGAGCTCCCCAAAGTCATCATTGGAAACCCAAACAACGTAAGTATTAAGTTGGGGACGAGGAGGTAAACAGATTCAGTACAAGGAATGGAAAGCCACTTCTGGTCTTTGAGTCGAGGGAATTTGATCAGGAACAAGTCTCCTACAGTGAAGACTTGACAAGTTACCAATGTTTTGAAAATGACAGTAATATTGTGTTGAGAGGTTAGTTTAGTACTTAGTTGATGACAACTGAGTACAAATAGAAAGCACATTTGTCTGGAGCTCAGCAGACTGAGGATCAAGCCTCCACTAGGCCTCGCGCTGAATGACCCACATGAGTTTAGCGCATAACATGAATTAAATAAAAATATATTGTGTTGAGCTGTAAGTGTAGCATTGTTGGACCAATGTAGCACTCTTGGTGTCAGTGTAACATTGATGAGTCAGTGTGGCACTGTTGAGCTGTCAGTGCAGCACTCTTGAGGTGTGAGTGTAGCACTGTTGGTGTCAGTGTAGCACTTTTGAGGTGTCAGTGCAGCACTGTTGAGGTGATGGTGTAGCACTGTTGAGGTGTTAGTGTAGCAAACTGATGATTCAGTGTAGCACTGTTGAGGTGTTTATGTAGCACGGATGACGTGTCAGTGTAGCACTGTTGAGGTGTCAGTGTAGCACTGTTGAGGTGTCAGTGTAACACTGTTGTTCAGTGTTGCACTGTTGAGGTGTCAGTGCAGCACTGCTGAGGTGACAGTGTAGCACTGTTGAGGTGACAGTGTAGCACTGTTGAGGTGTCAGTGTAGCACTGTTGAGGTGTCAGTGTAGCACTGTTGGTGTCAGTGTAGCACTGTTGAAGTGTCAGTGTAGCAGTGTGATGAGTCAGTGTAACACTGTTGAGGTGTCAGTGTAGCACTGTTGAGGTGTCAGTGTAGCACTGTTGAGGTGTCAGTGTAACACTGTTGAGGTGTCAGTGTAGCACTGTTGAGGTGTCAGTGTAGCACTGTTGAAGTGTCAGTGTAGCACTGTTGAGGTGTCAGTGTAACACTGTTGAGGTGTCAGTGTACACTGTTGAGGTGTCAGTGTAAGCACTGTTGAGGTGTCAGTGTAACACTGTCTGAGGTGTCAGTGTAGCACTGTTGAGGTGTCAGTGTAGCACTGTTGAAGTGTCAGTGTAGCACTGTTGAGGTGTCAGTGTAGCACTGTTGAAGTGTCAGTGTAGCACTGTTGAGGTGTCAGTGTAGCACTGTTGAAGTGTCAGTGTAGCACTGTTGAGGTGTCAGTGTAGCACTGTTGAGAGTGTCAGTGTAAGCACTGTTGAGGTGTCAGTGTAGCACTGTTGAGGTGTCAGTGTACACTGTTGAGGTGTCAGTGTAGCACTGTTGAGGTGTCAGTGTAACACTGTTGAGGTGTCAGTGTAACACTGTTGAGGTGTCAGTGTAGCACTGTTGAGGTGTCAGTGTAACACTGTTGAGGTGTCAGTGTAGCACTGTTGAGGTGTCAGTGTAACACTGTTGAGGTGTCAGTGTAACACTGTTGAGGTGTCAGTGTAGCACTGTTGAGGTGTCAGTGTAACACTGTTGAGGTGTCAGTGTACACTGTTGAGGTGTCAGTGTAACACTGTTGAGGTGTCAGTGTAACACTGTTGAGGTGTCAGTGCAGCACTGTTGAGATGTCAGTGTAGCAATGTGATGAGTCAGTGTAACACTGCTAGGATGGCAGTGTAGACTGTTATGCAGTAGAACACTGTTGAGGTTCAGTTTACACATTCTATACAATTCAGTGCTGCATGTTGAAGTCATGTAGCATGTGAGAGTCATTCACTGGCTAGATGCAGTTTTATGGTACAATGGTGCACATTTTTGATTAAAGAATCATTCTAGATACTTCCCATAATTACCATAATGTCTCTGACATTGTGATGTCATCTCAGAATCACTTATTTGTATCATTTCTTTTTGGAGACTTGATTAGGTGCTTGAATCAATCTGCTCTGTACCTTGTGTTGCTACTCATTGCTCTCTATTTTGCTGCAGGGCTGATCAGACTCTCGCCTTACACTGGTGTATGGTTCTCTCTCCACTGCTCTAGCTTTATCAGACTTCGCTTAACCATGACTCTCACTGTACTTAAGATTATTCACTTCCTGAAACCCTATGACTGAAGATATCACATTGACTCGGAGTCTTCAGCTTCCAACTGTGACGTCTTGTTCCTGTGTCCCCTCCCTGGAACATCCTGTCTTTGTCCACCTCGTCTATTCCGCGCAGTATTTTATGTGTCGTTATCATGTTTCCCCTGACCCTCATGTCCTCCAGTGTCGTCAGGCTAATTTCCCTTAACCTTTCTTCGTAGGACAATGTGTGTGTGTGTGTGGATGGATGGGTGCATATTAATTTTAGCAGCATTTTAAAGGCTTTAGAAAGGAATAGATTTGTCTTGTCTGTAGTTTAAATATCATGAAACACAACGTGTGATTAATTATTCAGGTGGAGGCTGACACCGTGGGAGCGCCCATCTCAGAGGAGGAGATCACTAACACGAAAAATATGAAACTCAGGCAGAAGACGAAGTTGAAGGATCCCATCGCTGCGTCAGGCTACTTCGAGGGAGATATTATGGTCTCTTCTGAGGAAGAACTCTCTCAGATTATTCAGGTATTCTTTTATTCCTTTTTCCTTTGCGTTCTTTTTTTCCTTCAACTCTCTTTTCTCTTCTATTTGCTGTTCCCCGCCCCCATCCTCCTCAGATTTTTTTGCCTTTCTTCCTCCTATCCCATTTCTCTCCCTATTTCCCTCTTTCTCCATAATAATGCTTGTTATTTATTCATAAGTTTGTATCGAAATAAAAATGATAACTGTTTCACTACCACTGTCAATAATAATAATTACACAAAACTACTGTTATAAATTAAATACGTATAAATACAGTTAAAACTTCCTCTAAGATCAAAGAGTTTTCTTCAAGGGTGACCCACAGCGTCAGCTCAGCGCCATCAGCAACTCCCAGAAGGTGTGGCCCAACGCTGTTATTCCCTACGTTATCTCCAACGAATTTAGTACGTTGCCTCTCTGACGTATCTACCCTTCCCTGGAAGGCTGTGTTTAATTTACGTTTAATCCATTCAAGAGATGTATGACCCTTATGGTTTTAGCGCTTAGTTATGATTATGATGAAGATGATGATGATGATGATAATAATAATAATTATTAATCTTTTAATAAGTAAAATTAGTTCAGAAGACAGATCAAAATTTGGTGAAAATGTTTTGATTTTTTTACAGCTTGTCTTTTTAAAATATTTAACATTATATATATATATATAATATATATATATATATATATATATATATATATATATATATATATATATATATATATATATATTATATATATATATATACGTATATACAATATATTATTATATATATATATATATATATATATATATACGTATATTATATATACATATATATATATATATATATATATATATATATATATATATATATATATATATATATATACGTATATACATATATATATATATATATATATATATATATAATATATATATATATATATATATATATATATATTATATATATATATATATATATATATATATATATATATATATATATATGTATATACGTATATATAATATATATATATATATATATATATATATATATATATATATATTATATATATATATATATATATATATATATATATATATATATGTATATATATATACGTATATATATATATATATATATATATATATATATATATGTATATACGTATATATATATATATATATATATATATATATATATATATATATATATATATATATATATATTATATAGTATATATATATATATATATATATATATATATATATATATATATTATATATATATATATATTATATATATATATATATTATATATATATATATTATATGAGAGAGAGAGCTTCTGATGTTGTAGTGTTACTAGTAATAACAAGTGAAAGTTATGCTACTCATTTTGGCACAGTTCTTACTGTGCTTTATTTCTTGTCTCAGAATTTTGTTCAGTAGGTTAACGTAAAGAACAGTTTTAGAAATGCTTGCATCCGTTAGATAAATTCTGTTGTCTACGATGACCATAAATTAAGTAAAACGTACAGTAGCTTCAAAAGTAGATTTTTTTTTCCTCAAGTGCATTTATAAACTTATATTTTTCTTACGACAGCTTCCTCAGAACGTTCCACGATAGGCATGGCTATTGGTGAATACCACAGTAGAACTTGTCTTCGCTTCGTGCCAAGGACTACCCACGTAGACTATGTGCACATCCTCAAGGGTCAGGGGTACGTATTCTGATCCTCTTTTACTTTTACTCAATAAAAAGCCCTTTTAGTAATGTGTAAGATCATTTTCTTGATGGTATTAGTTTTTTTTTTTTTTTGTATATTTCTTTCATTAATTTCACGTTCTTACTACTATCATCTATTTACATCGCTTTGTTATCCAACAGCAATTTTTTGGGAGGAAAACTCCTTTGTGCTCAGTCTTATTCAGTATTCTGTCGGTGCTTCGCCATCTCTCTGGACAGTAATTTTCATACATCATTAGTAGACAGGCTGTTCTAAACCTGAGAACCTTTCCACAATCTCCAGTCCTCTGATACACTCATCAATCCTAGAAACCTCTGGAGATCTACTCTCCCTCTCGTCATCCCCAGAAATTTTCTCAGTGACCATCTAAAAATAAAAAAGATAGATTGAAGCTGTACAGGACGAGTGATCCAGGTAAATCTCCTCGCACTTGTCTCCGCTCACCTAGTGGTAAATAGATGCGTAGGTGATAGTCAACTGATGTGGATCGCATCCTATGGGAAGCTTGTACAACACAATTAGAGCCAAACTGAAATGAGTTGAAATAGGATAATCCGTGAATTCATCTATGTTAAAAAAAAAAACTGACTTGGCGTTTACATTGGTTATTTGTTCAGGTGTTCCAGTGCGGTGGGGAGGTCAGGTGGCGTCCAGGTGGTATCACTCGGGCAAGGGTGTGTGCAGTTTGGTGTGATCCTTCACGAGCTGATGCATGCTGCTGGTTTCTGGCACGAACAATCCAGGAGCGACAGAGACCAGTACGTCGTCATCAACTGGAACAACATTATCACTGGTTTAGAATACAACTTCGAAAAGGTGGGTGATTGAAAGAGAGAGGAATAGGGAGGGAAGAAGGCAGAAAGGGAGGAAAGGGAGAAGCAAGTCAGGCCAAATAAAAAAATAAATACCTGTATAGGTAACTTAGTGTGAATATAACATTGCCTTGTTTGAAATCTCTGACTTTACGATCAGAATGTGGGACGTTAAATCCGCGAATTTTTGATTTTCAGGTCGACGTGTGCGACTTTTATACGGAAAAGGTCAAAGGTTATTCCGAGAAAAAGAATGCCAAAACGTTATTCAACTCTTAACGAACTTCTTATATGTTTGCTTACTCACTCACAACCGTTCGGCCTTATACACACGTCTGGTGGGGGCTTATGTATTGTCAGGGAGAAATATCTCCCGGCGAGGATCATTATATCACACAATGACTCTCACTGAAGCTAAGCGACCACTTGTGCGACTATGCTGGGAAGCCTGAGTCAGTCTGACAAACTTCAGATTCAGCATATTTTTCCAGTTCTAAAACAGAAGTGTTCGCTTGACTTATATTTTCAGGATACTGAAACCATCTAATATATAAAAGATAATCACACAAGATGTTGTCCAATATTTTAATTGCAAATGTCTCCGTCTTCTACACTCGCAGAAGTCAAATACTGTCTCCCAGGACCTGGGTCTTGCCTACGATTACGGTTCTGTCATGCACTACGGCGCCTTCGATTTTGCCAAGAGTTACTCATCCCCAACCATCGTGCCCAGGCAGGACGGAGTCAATATAGGTCAGCGTTCTGGCTTCTCTCAGGTCAGTTTCCTCTCGTTGTTACCGTAAGTCACTGTGATCCAACTGTGTAACGATGTAATAAGTGAATTTTAAAATTTTTCAAGCCATGAAGAGTAATGGCTGATATTTGATGCGTACCTTACTAATACCCAAATATCAGGCGGCATAAACCTTCAAAAAATGTGAATTGGACAACATTGGGCCTTAACAGTTTTGAATGTAAACAAGATCAGCTTCAGAAGATTTCGTATCACTCAATGACCTAGTCGGAACAATTTTGTTCTTGCACGAGTGAAACTGAGGGACCAGTCCCTAGCACGTCTCTCTCACAGTTGTTTCTATAAACTTATTGTTAGGTAATAAAATGACACATGTGCAGTAATGCGACATTTTTATTGTTGTAACGTTTCGCTCTCCAGGAGCTTTGTCAAGCCTGCTTGACAAAGCTCCTGGAGAGCTAAACGTTGCCACAATAAAAATGTCGTATGAGTTCCACTTGTGTCCTTTTACTTAAGATATTGTCGGTAATTCTATCAACATTATTATACCATAAACTTACTGTTACAGTATTATTTCAAAGAAGTCGTCTGTAAGACTATTAGAACATAATATACGATAAAACAACAATATGAGATACATGAACCTTACTAAGTGACCTTTGCATCACCTGTCTCTTACTCCCTGTCTCTCATGGTTTCTCCAGGTGGATGTGAAGGGCCTCAACTTACTTTACAAGTGTGAGTCTCCTCAACCCTCAACCCCGAAACCTCCATCTCCTGTAACCCCCACCCCAGAGCACTGCCAGGACCACAGCCAGTATTGTCTACTCTGGGCCCGTGGCGGCTACTGTACCACAAACTCCTACGTGAACCTCAACTGCAGGAAGACCTGCAATTTATGCGGTAGTGGGAAATGTTAATATATGATACAATCTGCAACAGGAAAATAAATATCAGGATTAAAAGGAAAAGATTAAAAAAACATAATTAGTAAACTATGAGGGAAGTTAACTTCTTCTTCTTCTTCTTCTTCTTCTTCTTCTTCTTCTTCTTCTTCTTCTTATTATTATTATTATTATTATTATTATTATTATTATTATTATTATTATTATTATTATTATTATTCTAAGGTACTGCCTATAATACTAACCCGCCATCAAATATAGGGTTCATCCCAAGCATAAACGTGGGACTATTTCTGAAAGATCAAATTATGTAATATAAATATCTGAAAGTTTAGGATGAATTAATTCTCCCTTTTAATCTAAGTTATCCTACACAGTGGTGCAGATAACCACCGTTGACTAACTTACATTAACAGGAACGTACAGCATAGTAGTGAGAGATTAATATAATGTTTTGCTTATGCTAATTTTGTTAGTACAATAGGTGCCCCACAGTTAGCTTTTTAACACATCCTCTATATTTATATGTACAGTAGTCTTTATTTTAAGCCAGGTTAGATTCAGTTAAGTTAGGTTAGGTTAGATTTGGTATGGGTTGGTTTGGTTAGGCTTCGTTTGTGTTGATTTGGTAAAATTAGGCTAATTTTGGTTTGTAAGGTGACATTAACCTATAAAAACGATTATTTAATCACAAATGGAATTAAAACGCCCACGATACGCCAGGCAACGAGGTGACACAGGATAAATACACAGATAAGTGTACTTCTCTCAGCACAAGATATAGTATTCAATTCAATTCAATTCAAGTTTATTCTCTGTAATGGTTACAATGTGGAGTTTACAGGTTTTTGGTATTTTGTGGTTTACATGTTATAAAATAGTAATTACAGAGGGGGCCACTAGGACACCTAGCATGGCTAGGCATTTCGAGCAGACTTAGATTAATTCTTAACATTAAGTCCTTACACATTATAGTATTAAGGCTAAGTGACTACATCATAATTTTGAGTTTAGCAATGTGAATGCTTTTGTTTTGGCACAATACAAGGTGTCTATATTTGAGTAACATAGGCAAACTTATGACTAGTTAGGATTTATTATTTTAAGATTAAGATTAGTATTTCTGGGTTTATAGTCAGTGGGTGAGTAAGTGCAATTTTGAACCACCAGGTGGTTATCATGCAGTTAGTTGTCGGGGTGGATCAGGGAGATAAGATGTTTTGAAAGTGATGAATGTGTCTGCAGTTCTAGAGTTTTCAGGTAGGGTGTTCCAGATTTTAGGTCCTTTGAAATACATTGAATTTTTGTAAAGGTTTAGTCCGAACTCGGGGAATGTCATAGAGATGTTTGTGTCTGGTGTTATGCCTGTGGATCCTGTCACAACTATCAACAAAGCGTTTTAGGTCAAGGTTAATATTGGAATTTAAGGACCTGTAGATATAGATTGCACAGTAGTAAGTGTGGATGTTCTGAACAGGGAGTAAGTTTAGATCTATGATGAGTGGGGGGGTGTGTTGCCAGGGATGGGATTTAGTGATTATTCTTACTGCGGCTTTTTGTTGGGTTATTATTGGCTTTAGGTGTGTTGCTGCAGTTGAACCCCAAGCACAGATGGCATAGGTGAGGTATGGACATATAAGTGAATGGTATAGTGTGAGAATGGCAGTTTGCGGTACGTAGTATCGTATCTTGAAAAGTGTATTTCTCTCAGGGTATACAGTATATGCTGAGAATTTACTTTAATCCTTATATAAGGGATTAAATATTGTTGCCTAGCGGTGAAAAGGTTTCGGGCAGCCTTAATGACCCTAGTGTAGTCAATAGGCTTTAAATACCCCCCCCCCCACTAACCAACGAACGAGGTGGCCCAACATTGCTACGAAACGTTAAAACACACTTACGATTATCACTTGTTGTTTAGGGAGAAGTCCAAGAGCAAAGACTACCCAGAATCTTGGCTCGCTGAAGCCAGCCGAGCATTCATCGTGTAAGGTATAGAGTCAGCCCCTCGTCTTACGCTGGTCGCTGTGCTGAGCTCTGTCGAGTGTCAATATCCGAACGTTGTATATGTGTGTGGTGGCGAGCTGGGCAAGGAACAGTTGTTGTAATGCGGGAATCCGGGATTGAAGAGCTCTAAGTAGATTAACGTTGAATTCTCAGTCAGTTTCAGCTAGCCTGTGATAGTTTTTAAGTTTAATTTAGTCTCTGCTAGGTTCAGTTAGCTTCTGCTAGTTGGAATTAGCAACGCGCGATTAATAAATAACAAAATCAGTAATTAAACCCTTTAATATGGAGATTGAAAAATTTAATTATACTTGTAATCGCATAATAATAATAAAAAAAAAAAAATAATAATAATAATAATAATAGGATGTGTACAATAAGATTTATATATCTCTGAGTATATAACCTGAGATATGACTTTAATCCCTGTTCTAGAGATTTAGGCATTCTTGACTACTGGTAAGGTCTCCAGTGCTGTAATATTGATACAGTCCCCAGTAGCTGTAATACTGATTAGGTCTCCAGTAGCTGATATCATATAAAGAAGGTTTTACTTTGATGTATGCTTATACAGCACCAGTTATTGCTTTGCAAACATTTATTTGCAATAATAATCTACCAAAAACTCGCTAATTCGACGATTTTTTTCCTTATCTCCGGCAGACGTGAAGGTTTGCGCTGATCTGAATGTTAACTGTGCATTCTGGGCGAGCAATGGAGAGTGTGCGCTCTCTCAGGCCTACATGCACGACAACTGCGCCAAGGCCTGCGGTTTTTGCTAGCTTACTGATTACATCATAGCTCAGTCTTTTCAAAGCCTGACAGTGTGTGCTACCTCCCTTCCCTTCCTGTCCAGAGACGCCAGTTATACAATCAGTGTTTTACTGGAGTCTTCCAGCACAGGACGACATATTTCAATATTGTATGAGACTCATCCTGCGAAACTTTTCACAAATATCTCTCAGTCATCATCATTATTTGAGCCTGCACACTCATATATATTATAATTTTAGCAGTCGTAAACAAATGAAAAAGATTTTGTATTTATAATGATAACTTATTGGAATAATAATATCGTTTTACTTATATTAGCCTAAAATGTTTTTAATGGTTAGGTATCCTATTAAAAATAAAATAATTAACTTGTTTTAATGTATTTCCTGTATTGGTTACCTTACCTGTTGCTGGCAGTAACAGTCTCCAATGCGCACAATAAATAATCATGACAAGTAATTCTGCATGTAATTTGACTATATTATTATTGAAGCCGCATAGACCTGTAAGAGTCTCAGATTTCTGGATTTACCAAATCATTCAGTAACACTGTCCATGTCTACTAAAATGTCATAGTGAATATGAAGCATTTTTTTTTATATTTTTATTTAAAACAGAGCAAATACAATAATGTATAAGAGTATAAAATTAAAAACCATACTAGATATTACAAAACCTCTAGTACACAATCCCGGTACATTTTAAGAACACCATAGATCATGGCCATATTACAACCATATACATAACCCACAACCATATACATAACCTACAAACCCTCCTTTTATAATCATTATTGCCAGTGCAGACACAGCTGACACTTCTACCCCCCCCCTCCCCGTATGTACAGTCCCCGTTCTAAATAACATACATTGAATTATCCTAATGAATGGTCATAACACTGACCTCATCAAAACCTAAAAGTTGGGGATTAGCGTGGACGGTTACCAAGCATGGCTTGCTTCTGCAGTGTTTTAAAAACTGAGGTTGGAGAGTTGAAGGAGGAGGTCTTGCTTCTCCAGGAGGAGATTAGGAGGCTGAGGGTCCACCTCAATGGGTCTGGGAGAGAGTGTGAGGTGGCTGGAGTTGTGGGGAATGAGACTTCTAGCAGTGAGGTGCAGTCTGTCTCTCGCTGTAAGGAGGCTGTAGTTGGGGAGGTAGCAACGGCTACCAGCAGTGAGGTGCAGCCCAGCACCTGCTACAAGTGGCGAGTTGTTCACAGTAATGGGAGGCGCATCAGAATAAGGAAAGTTAAGAGTGAAGATCTGAAGGTAGGAAATCGCTTCTCTGTTCTCCAGGATGAATGTACTTCAGTGGCCAGTGAAGGTAAGGGTACTACTGCCCCTGCTAATGAAGGTAAGCGCATTCTTGTGGTTGGTGACTCTCAGGTAAGATATATTGACCGTGCTTTTTGTAATAGGAATAAGAAGATGAGAGATAGAGTGTGCTTCCCTGGAGCTGGTGTTGGGGACATTGTCAACAGGCTGGATAATATCATGTCAGGTAATGGGAACAAGCCCATTATCTGTCTCAGTGCTGGTGGAAATGATATTGGGAAGGGTAGGAGAGAAGAGCTGCTAGATAAGTACAGGTCAGCTATAGATTTCATTAAGTCTAAGGGAGGGATCCCAATCATATGTAGCATCTTGCCTAGAAGGGGAGTAGGAAATGAATGGTTGTCTAGGGCAATTGGTGTAAATTGCTGGCTAGACAGATACTGCAAGGAACTTGCAATCCCATTCATTGACAACTGGAACAAACTTTTATGGCAAACATGATATGTATGCAAGGGATGGGGTACATCTCTCTGGGTCAGGGGTGGTAGCACTTGCAGACTCGATTGAGAAGGCCATTGGTGAAATGCCTATGATTTTAAACTGATGGAAGATAGAGGTATGGGTGTGTGTGGGAAACAAGCAGGTTGCAACACTAGGGTTGGAAACAGTAAATGTATAAAAGGCATTCAGCATGAAGTTATAAATAAAGACAATAGAAAGGTCAGCAAACAAAGGGGGACAGCAGAGGGCAGCAAGGGACTAGCTCCCTTAAGGTTTACTATACTAATACAGGAGTGTTAGAAATAAGATAGATGAGCTAAGATTAATTGCAAGTGCAGGAAACATAGATATTATTGCTATAACAGAGACCTGGCTCAATCTGAAAGATAGAGAGATGCCCTCTGAATGTCACATACAAGGCTATAAATTATTCCACACTGACAGGGTCAACAGGAAAGGTGGTGGAGTAGCGATGTCTGTCAGAGACAATTTAAATTGTTGTGTTAGACAAGATATTAAATTAGACGCGTCAGCCACTGAATCTGTTTGGTTACAGCTTCTCGAGGGCCGAGAAAAACTAATTTTGGGTGTGATTTACAGGGCCCCAAATCTTGATAGGGAGTGCAGTAAACTTCTATGGGACGAAATTCGTAAGGCATCTACATACGAAAATGTTGTGCTAATGGGAGATTTCAACTATAGACAGATTGACTGGAGCAATTTGACAGGAAATTTAGAGTCGGGTGACTTTCTTGATACGATCCAGGATTGTTTTTTAAAACAGTTTGTGACAGAGCCAACTAGGGGAAATAACGTCCTTGACTTGGTTCTTGCCAGTAGGGAAACACTAATTAATAATCTTGAGAAACCATACCCCCGGCCGGGATTGAACCCGCGGTCATAGAGTCTCAAAACTCCAGCCCGTCGCGTTAGCCACTAGACCAGCTAGCCACAATAAGATTCATCCAACTAGGTATATTTCTACACCATAGGAAAGTTAGCACAGGCACCTCTGTGACCACAAATGCAAGTTTTTACAGACGAATCTCCAGCTAGCGTGGCCGTGACGAACTCTAGCTCAAGTCCCTTCACTGCCGTCAACATGACTCAAGAAATCGTAATGACACGATTGCAAATCGTGTCATTACGATTTCTTGAGTCAATAATCTTGAGGTTAATGATGAGCTTGGGGAAAGTGATCACAAATCACTCAGTTTTAATATATCATGGAATTCCCCTAATAATGGCAATCAAGTCTCCGTCCCTGACTTTCGCTTGGCTGATTTCATAGGACTGAAAAATTACTTAGGTGGGCTGAACTGGAATGACCTGACTAAGGGTCAGGTAGGTGGTGATGGTTGCCGATATGATGCTTTCCAGGGCATAGTTCTAGCTGCTCAGTTAAATTATGTTCCAAATAGGGAAATCAGATCAAACAAAAATGATCCTAAATGGATGAACAATAGATTAAAATATCTGATTGGTCAAAAGAGAGGCATATATTGGCAAATCAAAAGAGGAGAGGGGCAATTAAGAAATCGATATATTCAGTTAAAGAGAGAAATAAAAAAGGGAATTAGAAAAGCAAAAAGAGATTATGAGGTTAAAGTTGCAAAAGAATCGAAGACTAACCCAAAAGGATTCTTTCAGGTATACAGAAGTAAGATCAGGGACAAGATAGGCCCACTCAAAAGTTCCTCGGGTCAGCTCACTGACAGTGATAAGGAAATGTTGTAGAATTTTTAACACATACTTCCTCTCAGTTTTTACACAGGAGGATACCAGCGATATTCCAGTAATGATAAATTATGTAGAACAGGACGATAATAAACTGTGCACTATTAGGGTCACAAGTGACATGGTCCTTAGGCAAATAGATAAATTAAAACCTAACAAATCCCCAGGCCCTGATGAACTGTATGCAAGGGTTCTAAAGGAATGTAAAGAGGAGCTTAGCACACCTTTGGCTAATCTTTTCAACATATCACTACAAACTGGCATGGTGCCAGATAAGTGGAAAATGGCAAATGTGATACCTATTTTCAAAACAGGTGACAGGTCCTTAGCTTCGAACTATAGACCAATAAGCCTAACCTCCATAGTGGGAAAATTTATGGAATCAATAATTGCCGAGGCAGTTCGTAGCCATCTTGAAAAGCATAAATTAATCAACGAATCTCAGCATGGTTTTACAAAGGGGCGTTCCTGCCTTACGAATTTATTAACTTTTTTCACTAAGGTATTTGAGGAGGTAGATCATGGTAATGAACATGATATTGTGTATATGGACTTCAGTAAGGCTTTTGACAGGGTCCCACATCAGAGACTATTGAGGAAAATTAAAGCACATGGAATAGGAGGAGAAATTTTTTCCTGGATAGAGGCATGGTTGACAAATAGGCAGCAGAGAGTTTGCATAAATGGGGAGAAATCAGAGTGGGGAAGCGTTACGAGCGGTGTTCCACAGGGGTCAGTGTTGGGCCCCCTGCTGTTCACAATCTACATAAACGACATAGATGAGGGCATAAAGAGCGACATCGGCAAGTTTGCCGATGACACCAAAATAGGCCGTCGAATTCATTCTGACGAGGACATTCGAGCACTCCAGGAAGATTTGAATAGACTGATGCAGTGGTCGGAGAAGTGGCAGATGCAGTTTAATATAGACAAATGCAAAGTTCTAAATGTTGGACAGGACAATAACCATGCCACATATAAACTAAATAATGTAGATCTTAATATTACGGATTGCGAAAAAGATTTAGGAGTTCTGGTTAGCAGTAATCTGAAACCAAGACAACAGTGCATAAGTGTTCGCAATAAAGCTAATAGAATCCTTGGCTTCATATCAAGAAGCATAAATAATAGGAGTCCTCAGGTTGTTCTTCAACTCTATACATCCTTGGTTAGGCCTCATTTAGATTATGCTGCACAGTTTTGGTCACCGTATTACAGAATGGATATAAATTCTCTGGAAAATGTACAAAGGAGGATGACAAAGATGATCCCATGTATCAGAAACCTTCCCTATGAGGATAGACTAAGGGCCCTGAAACTGCACTCTCTAGAAAGACGTAGAATTAGGGGGGATATGATTGAGGTGTATAAATGGAAGACAGGAATAAATAAAGGGGATGTAAATAGTGTGCTGAAAATATCTAGCCTAGACAGGACTCGCAGCAATGGTTTTAAGTTGGAAAAATTCAGATTCAGGAAGGATATAGGAAAGTACT